GATGACGTCGCAGCGGCAGCACAACGCGATGACGTCGCAGCGGCAGCTCAACGCGATGACGTCGCAGCGGCAGCACAACGCGATGACGTCATGTGCACCTACCTGATCTCACGGCGGAGCGGAAAATTCAAAATGTCGGCCGGGTGGAAGTTTTATTTTTCGTTGGTGAGGATGTCGGATTCTGAAGATTTATGGACTACATTGAGCCTCGCTACATCGTCCCCAGTCAGAGATATTTTTCCGATATAACGTTACCCGAGTTACAAGCCGTCATTTCCGATGTTATTGAGAAGCTAATAGCTGATAGTACGACTTGTTTGGTGAGTTTTATCACAGACATTTTGACGTCGTGTTAGCTCCGTTAGCATGATTAGTCTTACAGCACAATGGATAGACAAAAACTTTGATCTTAAAAAGGCTGTCCTTCATGCACAGGAGTGCAGAAGATCTTACACTGCAGCTAGGAACCTGGAACAAACCTCCACAAGTGAGACAGCATCGCAGCTGACTAATGCTAACACAATTTAACACTTTTCATTTAATATAAGTTAAAGTGCTATGCATATCATATGGCTGTTACTGAATATATGTCACCAGCTCTTACAGCTGTTGCACAATTTTTTCAGTAAATAAGCCTAAATAATTTTACATGAACGCTCCTACAAGCACCCTGCAGATGTTGGATGCTGTCTATCATGGTGCACTGAGAATCATAACTGGCTGTGATTATCGTACCCACCACTGCACCCTGTATTCACTGGTTAACTGGACATCATTAACTTCACACAGACTCTCTCACTGGTACATTTTCATCTTTAAATCACTTCTTGGTCTGCTGCCTTCATACATCTCCTCCTACATGTCTCTGCATGAGTGCAGCTACAACGTGCACTCTCAGGACATTATTACCTGCAGTGTTCCCTCAGTGAGGACTGAACTTGGCAAAAGGGCCTTCTCCTACTCCGCTCCTGTTTCCTGGAATATCTTACAAAAAGACCAGAAGCTCTCGACCTTGACCTCTCTAAGTGGCTTTAAGAATCTGTTGGACTCCTGGCAGAGACCAATGCAGACATGTTCCTGTTTTTAGTTTTCTACATTCACCTTATAATCTAGCTGTTTTTTGTTACTTTTTTTGCCATCTTATTTGTAAAAAAAAAAAAAAAAAATCTGTATGCCTTTTTATAACTGTCTATTGTCGTCACTGTTGTCCATTGTTGTCATCATTCTTTGTTGAAATCAGGTCTCTCTTGTAAATGAGTCCTCGAGGCTCAATGGGATTAACCTGTCTAAATAAAGGTTGAATGAAAAAAGGTTGAATAAGAGGGCTATGTTCTGACAAAGGAACGTATATAAAATATTGGTATCGGCATTGGTTATCGGTTGAATAAGTTTTAACATATCGGCATATCGGATGTCGGCCAAAAATCCCTAATATACAGACCCTTTCCAAAAAATTACAATATCATGGAAAAGTTATTTAACTTCCATAATTCCATTCAAAAAGTTCATCTTTAATCGATGATATAGTCAGGGCCCACAATTTAAACGATTTCAAGTATTTAGTTTTTTATTTTTACATAATTTGGGCTTCCAGCTCATGAAACCCACGAAAACAGGATTTCAAAAAGTATAATACTGTGAAGACATCAGCCCACACTTCTCAGTTTTTGCAGGAAAAAAAAAAAAGGATCAGAACAAATCAATCCAAATATGGTATTTTCAAAATGACATGTCAATCTTTAATACTTGGTTGTGAATCTTTTGCCTTAATCACTGCCTCGATGTGACGTGGCATTGAGTCAATCAGCCTGTGGCATTGACTGGGAGTTATGGAAGCCCAGATTTCCTTGATGCTGTCATATCTTCGTTGTTGGGTCTGGTGCCCCTCGTTTTCCTCTTGAGAATACTCCATAGATTCTCAATGGGTTTAGGTCCAGCAAGTTGTCTGGCCAGTCAAGCACTGTGACATGGGTATCAAACCAGGTTTTGGTGCTTCTGGCGGCATGGACAGGGACCAGGTCCTGCTGGAAGATGAAATCTGCATCTCCATACAGATCCTCAGCAGAAGGAATCATGAAGTCCTCTAAAACATTCTGGTAGACTGTTGTGGTGGCCTTGGATTTAAGAAAGCAGAGTTTACCAACACCTGCACCGGACATTGCACCTCAAATCATGACTGACTGTGGATATTTCACACTGGACCTCAAGCAGTATGGGTTCTGTTCCTCACCCTTCTTCCTCCAAACCCTTGGACCTTGATTTCTGAATGAAAGACAAACTTTACTTTCATCGGTAAAAGAGGACCGAGGAACCCAACAGTTGTAGTCCATCTCCTGGATGTGTCTGAATGTGGTGGTTTTTGAAGCTGTGACTCCCGCCTCATTCCACTCTTTCTGGATCTCTGCCAGATTCTGGAATCTTCTCTGTTTGATAATCTGCTGAAGCCCACGGTCATCTCTTTTGCTGGTGCATCTTCTCCTGACACATTTTGCCCTTCTACTAGACTTTCCATTGATATGCTTGGACACAGCACTCTGTGAACAGCCAGCCTCCTTAGCTATGAACTTTTGTGGCTTCCCCATCCTATGGAGGGAATCAGTGATGGTCTTCTGACCAGTTGTTATGTCTGCAGTCTTCCCCATATTGAACCAAACTGAAGCAGTTTAATGACACCTGGGGAAACCTGTGCAGGTGCTTTGAGTTTAGTAGATGATTAGTGTCACATTCAGTTTAAAACATTCATGCCCTGCAACATTTGGGCTGATGTCTCCACAGTATTCTAATTTTTTTTTAAATCCTGTTTTCGTGAGTTTCATGAGCTGGAAGCCCAAATTATGTAAAAATAAACAAATAAATACTTGAAATTGTTTAAATTGTGGGCCCTGAATCTATCATCTATAAAGATTAACTTTTTGAATGGAATTATGGAAATTAAACAACTTTTCCATATATACATATATATATATATATATATATATATATATATATATATATATATATA